CTCCCTTCACCCACTTTTCTGTTGTCTGTTCCCAGGGAGGGGGTTATATGTAGATCCTAGTGATAGGTTTCCCCCTTCTACCCCACCTTCCCCTTCCCCTCCTGGTATCGGTACTCTCCTTATTGGTCCTGAGGGGTTATCTGTCCTGGATTCCATGTTTCCAGTTCTTATCTGTACCAATGTATATCCTCTGGTCTAGCTGGCTTTGTAAGGTATAATTGGGATCATGATAGTGGAGGGGAGGAAGCATTAAAGAAGTAGAGGAAATTTGTATGTTTCATCATTGCTAAACTTCAGCCTGACTAGCTTGTCTCCTCCCCGAGACTCTTCTGTAAGGGGATGTCCACTTGCCTACAGATGGGCTTTGGGTCTCCACTCCACACTCCTCCTCATTCACAATGATATGATTTTTGTTCTTTGATGCCTGATACCTGATCCCATCGACCCCTAGTGATCACACAGGCTAGTGTGCTTCTTCCATGTGGGCTTTGTTGCTTCTCAACTAGATGGCCGCTTGTTTACCTTCAAGCCTTTAAGACCCCAGACGCTATATCTTTTGATAGTCAGGCACCATCTGTTTTCTTCACCATATTTGCTTATACACCCACTTTGTCTTCAGCGATCATGTCGGGAAGGTGAGCATCATGAAATGCCAGTTTAATAGAACAAAGTGTTCTTGCATTGAGGGTGTACTTGAGTAGAGGCCTAATGTCCATCTGCTACCTTAATACTAAACCTATACATATATGCAAATAGATCTATTTCTCCATCATCATTTATAAATATATTTACATATGTTTAGACCTCTATAAATACCCTTTGCCTCCTAGGTCTTTCCTCTATTTCCTTTTACTTTCCTTTTGTCCCACTATCATGCTTAGCCTTCATTTGGGTTTCAGTAATTCATCTGTTACACTGCCCTTTATCAAGCCCTACTAGGCCTCCTACACCCTCCTTGCCATCAATTTTGAATCACTCATTGTTCCCTTGTTTCTGGGTTTATTAACACCCACTTCTTTTCCCCTGCCTCCCCCTCTCCTATATCCCCCCAGAACCATCAGTCCCGTTGTTTTCTCCTCCAGATTGCTTATCCCACCTATCTTGATAGACCTGCAGAGATAATAATATGCACAAAAAACAAAACAGAGCAAAATAAAACAAGAACAACCAAAAAATAAGAAATGCCTGTAAATAGTTCAAGGTCTGTTTGTTGACTTTTAGGAGTGTTTTCCAGTGGAGTCTGATGGGGTGCCATGCCCTGGCCCCAAAGTCTATTTTTGCCCTACCTTATTTTCATCTTAGTTTTCCAAGTTAACGTGTGAGATAAAACCGAGGGCAATACAAGAACTCTTAAAAACTAGAGGTTTTTAAAAATGTTGACTGAATTAGGCATACACATTCATATACATGTGCAAAACCACAAAACTGCATAGAAATACAAAATCAAAAATTATTAAGATTATAATAAAGCTCACTGATGTATTTGATTTTTGTTGTATTTCCATGAGCGGTTGCTATATTGAACATATCATGAACCATTTTTTGTGCCACTTTGGCACAGTGGCTTAAAAATTGGGCTGCTCAGTAGCTGTCATTTAAGGTTTCTATGAATCAGAATCCACTCGGCAGTGTGGTCGGAGTTCAGTTTGGTTATGTCTGGAGGTGATTTTAATCTAGGGAGAAAGGTATATTCTAAGGATTCATGAACAAGTGTACATTTTTAAGTTGGTCCCTATAAAGCTTTGTCTGCTTTGTAAACATTTTCAAGCAGCTGATTTAGAAGAAAGCTTTAATGAGCATGAACTGGAGCCCTCATCGCCTAAAAATAAAAAGAAAAGTCGCAAAGGAAGACCCAGGAAAACTCATTTCAAAGGGCTGTCTGAAGATACCAGGTCCACATCCTCCCATGGAACAGATGAAACAGAAAGTAGTTCCTATGTAAGTCGAAGAATGCTTTCTTGTTCCTTTTTTATGGGACCCAGATTATATTGAATTTAAACGAAGTTCATTATTTGATGTGGTTTAAACAAGACCAATGGCGTATTTTCAGGGAGGTTTTTAAAGAGTCACATTTTTCTTTGCATTCACAGAGGGAGAGGTCTCCACACAGAAGCAGCCCTAGTGATGCCAGGCCCAGATGTGGATTCTGTCACGTAGGTGAGGAGGAAAATGAAGCTAGAGGAAAACTGCATATATTTAATGCCAAAAAGGCAGCTGCACATTACAAGTGCATGGTGAGTATGGTTCTTTGTATGTTCTTCGAAGTTCTTTGGAAAAATCACTCAGCATGTAGCCCAATACAGCCCTTTTCTTTACATTCGTGTTTAAGAATTAGGAAAGGTGTATCCTGTGATCCAAATCTTAATAAAAGGCACATTGGGGAAGTCCAGACTTTCTGCTTTAGTAGAGGTCCCTGGATAGAGACTAATAACCCAAAGGCTGGTGGTTTGAATCCACTGACCAGCTACAGAAGAAAGGCCTGGTGATCCATGTCCTTAGGATTCTAGCCATTGCCAGTCTACTCTTAAGAGAGCAGCAAAGTGATGGAGGCAGGGGAAGACTCTGGGAGGAGTGTGAGAGTTAAAGACAACAGAGGTAAATACTGTGAAATCCACAATCCTGCAAGAATGGTGGTCTGTGAGGAGCTGCATGGATAGACATGGAGGCTGAATGGATCTGAGAAGGGAGCATGAGCGCATACTTGGGAATATATATTGGTTTGTCAGAGGATATTTGTACATCTGTATTTACCTTTGCAGCAAATACGGGGATGAGGAAGCAAGCTTCAAACGTTCATAGGAAATTCCATTATATTTTCATTCCTTTTTTTTTTTCATGGACTTTTGGAAGTCCCGTCATCATAACCAAGAATCCCAAGGGAATGAGTCATAGGGCTTTGGAGCTCATAGACTCCGGGAGAACATGTAGATTTATAGGCATAACATAATCCACAAAGACAATGTTCTACATATGACTTTGGTGAGTAGAAACTTAGATCTTAAGAATTCAGGAGTGGCCATTTAAGGCATCTCCTTGTCTGGAGCAAAGAGTGATGAATATCGACAATGCATGGAAACAGTGGACTAACGGACCACAGGAACCTTAGTCGTCATGACCTTGAGATCAGATGGTGCCCAGAACTAGATGGTGCCCAGCAATCACTATCAACTTCTCTGAAAGGGATCATTTTAGAAGATCCTCAAGAGAGGGGGAAATGTCAAGATTATAAAAAAGACCAGGTTTATTGGCCAGACAGAAGCTATGGCCCTTAGTTACCCCACAGGCCTAGAAATAAACTCACCTCCATGGCTCAATTTTCAGCCAAAAAATAGGCCTATAAGGGGAACAGTAACATTAGGGATCTTTCGATTATAAATGTTTTTATTTATTTTTTATTTTATTAGGGGCTCATAGAACTCCCATCACATTCCATACATACATCAATTGTGTAAAGTGCATTTGTACATTCATTGCCCTCATCATTCTCAAAACATTTCCTCTCCACTTAAGCCCCCATCATTAGGTCCTCATTTTTCCCCTCCCTCCTCGCTCCCCCCTCCCCCATGAGCCCTTGATAATTTATAAATTATTATTTTGTCATATCTTGCCCTGTCCGACGTCTCCCTTCACCCACTTCTCGATTGTCTGTCCCCCAGGGAGGAAGTCACATATAGTTCCTTGTAATCGGTTCCCTCCTTCCAACCCACTGTCCCTCTACCCTCCCAGTATTACCACTCACTCCACTGGTCCTGTAGGGATCATCCGCCCTGGTTTCCCTGTATTTCCAGTTCCTATCTGTACCAGTGTACATCCTCTGGTCTAGCCAGACTTGCAAGGTAGTGGGAGCGGGGAGGAAACATTTAGGAACTAGAGGAAAGTTGTATTTTTCATCGTTGCTACATCGCACCCTGACTGGCTCATCTCCTCCCCGAGACCCCTCTGCAAGGGGATCTCCACTGGCCTACTAATGGGCTTTGGGTCTCCACTCTGCACTCCCCCCATCATTCACTATGGTAAGATTTTTTGTTCTGATGATGCCTTATACCTGATCCCTTCGACACTTCATGATTGCATAGGCTGGTGTGCTTCTTCCATGTGGGCTTTGTTGCTTCTGAGCTTGATGGCCGCTTGATTACCTTCAAGCCTTTAAGACCCCAGATGCTATACTTTTGGTAGGCCGGCACCATCAGCTTTCTTCGCCACACTTGCTTATGCACCCATTTGTCTTCAGTGATCCGTTCGACACCTCATGATCACACAGGCTGTGTGGGCTTTGTTGCTTCTGAGCTAGATGGCCGCTTGTTTACCGGGTATAAATGTTTTTATAAACATACTGAGTTGCAGTTACTCACTTTTGAGCCTATTCTTCTAATGGACTCTTAAATTCCATGAGGACATGAAGTTTATCTTTGCATCCTTAGATCCAGGCCAGATATATATAGGCACACCTAAGTGGTTTTTTATATTAGATTGTATTGAATTACTCATCCCTTTATGATTGAGTTTTTAAAATTATGTTTACCAGCGATTCTTAACAACTAGAGAGGCAGATGCTATTTCCATGGGGACTTTATCCAAAATATATGTACCCAGGCCCCCACATGAAATAGATCCCAGACATGTCTATTTGGAGAGGGGGGAAAAAAAATCTCCAGAGGATTTTGATCTGCATCTGTGGTTGAAATTTGTTGATTTAAAAGACCCCCTTTAGAACTTATTGGAAATGTACAACAGTTGAGAATCTTCAGTGTCGGAATCAAGAAGGTATTTAATCTGAGATTGCACATTGCCAATTGTAGTTTTGTATCAAAATTTGGTTTATATCTTAATCATATAGGTGCTTTCTAATATTGAAGTTGGTACATGATATTTTTAAAATCCTCTTAGGGAATTAAAATAATATAACACCTCTGTTCCGATGTTGTTTAATCTGTTTTGGGGTTTTTTTAATCTGTTTTTTTACAAGAATTCTGAGTGTTAACATTCCTGCCTTTTTCTTCTGCAGTTGTTTTCTTCAGGCACTGTGCAGCTCACAACAACATCAAGAGCAGAATTTGGGGATTTTGACATTAAAACTGTACTTCAGGAGATTAAGCGAGGAAAAAGAATGGTCTGTAATTTTCTATTTAGGTTGTGCAATATTACTCTTGATTTTCTGCTTTAAATTGAAGAATACACCTCAGATCTACCCAGTCTTTAGAAACTGCATATGTTACAGCATGGTTTACTTTGGTACCATAATTAAAGGGCTATTACCCCTTGATCCTTTTTCTGTGTTGCTTTACTACTCAAGGAAATTGTTATAATGCAATTTCTTTTTTAGGCTATTTGAGAATCTTATAGCAAAATCAATGAGAACATGAATGTGATGACATACCTCACTAAGTGTTAGATTGAATTGTTTAAGCCTTAAATTTCATTTCATTTTTTACATTGACACATTTATATTGTAGTAGGTCCATGGGAAGCCATATTAAAAGGGGAAATGTAAATAAATAAATAATGATTTACGTTTGCCTGAGGAAAACATAATTCTGATACAGCACTGAAAACTATCCTATTACTTATTTATCGGTTCTAAGTAACAGGAAAGGACCTTTTTCTTTCTTTTTCCTGGAGCCTTCTTTCTTTCTTATTTTTTTTAAAGTATTTTATTGGCGGCTCGTACAACTCTTATCACAATCCATACATCCATCCATTGTGTCAAGCACATTTGTACATATGTTGCCATCATCATTCTCAAAACATTTGCTTTCTACTTGAGCCCTTAATATCAGCTTCTCATTTTTCCCCTCCCTCACCCCTCCCTCATGAACCCTTGATAATTTATAAATTATTATTATTTTGTCATATCTTACACCATCTGGTCTCCCTTCACCCACATCTCCGCTGTCCGTCCCCCAGGGAGGCGGTTATATGTAGATCCTTATAATCTGTTCCCTCCACCCTCCCGTCCTGGAGCCTTCTGTTCAGTTAAAGTGCACTTATAAAGTATTGTCACTTAAAATATTGATCCTAGCCTAAATGTTTCCTTTCTAAAAATGTACCTTAATGTTGAATTACTAGCAAGTAGTGTCCCTGGCTCACTGTCTAGTTTAGGAATCTCACACAATGTCTTTTTATTGTGAAAGCATTTCAGTTGTATTTAAGTTGAGAACACAGTAGACCTCATTAATCCCCCACCTTGATTTGTGACTTGTCCAGATGATTTGCATGTGGCTTATTTATGCCATTTGTCATCACTACTCTTGAAGTGCTTTAAAGCAGATTTTGGACTTCCTGTTATTTCACTTTGAAAACCTCAGTTTTCATCTGTAAGAACTTTAGTCATTCCTTACCCAACCCCAATGCCACTACACTGTATAAATTAAGGTACTTCTTCAGTATCATGTAATGCCCCAGGCATATTTGTATTTTCCCAACTGCCTCGAAACCTGCCTTTGTAAGGATGCCTTGTGTGAATCGAGATCCCAGCAGGGACCACACAGTATATTTGGTGGTTATATATCTCTGAAGTCATCTTGGGACGTAACCCTCTCTCTTTTTGTTTTGTTTTTTAATTGTCGCTGCCTTTTTTAAAAATCATTTTATTAGGGCTCATACAACTCTTATCACAATCCACACGTACATCAATTGTGTGAAGCACACTTATACATTCGTTGCCCTCATCATTCTGCTGTTGCCTTATTGAAGAAAACTTGTTAATTGTTCTGTAGAATATCCCATAGTTTCAATTTGTGTCTTATGATTAGATTCCATTTCAACTTGTGAGGGACTCAGATGACTTTGCAGGTGGGAGAGATTATCTTATATTTTGTCATGTCGGAGAGTCATCGTGTTCAGCGATGAGTCCCCTCCCTACATAGTGAAGTGCCCCTTCAGTCTCTAATGGCTTTGTCTGAATCGATTAGAAATGACCTTTTGCAAAACCCTTTCTGAAGGTGGTGAAAAACTTTAGAGGAATAATGGACTAAAGGGTACATTTGAAAAATGCCTGTCAGAACTCAATTAAGAATTTGAATATACTTGAGAAGCTAGCAGTATGAAAACTGGTGGTGTTTAGGTACAGTTCAGTTCATTGATAATTTTGATTAAAAATGAAACTCTTTATAACAGAGCCTATAGTATTAGCAATATAAAGGAACAATTGCTTGATCATATACAGAGCAGTGCTGTTGTGTGATGTCCCTGGAGGTGACTAGCATGCCAATTTAGTTCAGTTGATCTATTAATTACTATCTCTGCACTGTTGAAGATTAAATAAACACTATCCTAGCATTTCACTAAGTATGCTCCAAAGGAAATGACTCCATAAAACTTCTCCATCACCCCTCTGAAGAAAGGGTATCTTCGAGGTTGTATAGTATACCCCTTCTCCCACGGTCCTGGAGAAAATGCTGTAAGAGGAGTGTTGCAATCAAGGAGTCTGCTTAACCTAGCTTTGAACATTCTTTAGCCAAGGTAGATCTAGACCGAAATGAGCCCTACAAAGATCCACGGGCCGCTTTAAAGTTTCTCTGCAATTCTGCCTACTGGGTAGCAATCCCTCTTGGGGAGATCACAGCTGCCTTTTGTAAATATTTAGCGTGGTCATACTTGTAATAAGAAAGGATATAATCAAGTGGGAGAGGAGGAGTTCCATCCACTATAATAAAGAATGCCATTCCCTTTTGTGGGTTTGGCAGTATTGGTGAGTATCTTACTGATGTTCAGGTGCCAGGTCTCTAATGGTTACTGCAGTTTTTCTAACAAGCTGGCAGTTGAACACATGTTAAATAATGGAAAGGCCAGAGGATGGTTAGAAATGTTATCAGATTTGGCTTAAATTGCAATATTGTTTGATAGGTCTGCCCCATACAAATTCAGCATCCTCCTTTTTTTCCAGTGGAAAATACAGTTGTTTTGTTGTGGTATACTGGAATGCTTGGCTGAAATATGCCAAGTAGAATACATAAGAATGCATGAGCTTTGAAAATAAAACAAGTTCTGATTATTCCTTTCTCTTTCCCTAAACAGAAATGTACACTTTGCAGTCAGCCCGGTGCTACTATTGGATGTGAAATCAAAGCCTGTGTTAAGACTTACCATTACCACTGTGGAGTGCAAGACAAAGCCAAGTACATTGAAAACATGTCCCGAGGAATTTACAAGTAAGAAACAGCTCTCCTAAATATGCTAATAAGAACCCACCTTGCAACAGATGACATTAGGTGACTTGAGCCACATTCTTTGGGCTGTGTAGCCCTGTATAGAAGACTGTGGATGTTGTGTAAGAAATGGGTACTGCAGTTGTCATTTTCCTCTGATTACCTACCCCCGAAGTAGCACTCAGTTAACTCACTTTCTTACACGTATTATGTACCAGACTGGCTGATCCTGTACAGATTTATAGCCTCAGAAACCCTGCACAGGGTCACTGTTAAACAGTTAGAATTGACTTGATGGAAGGTGGGTTATGTTTGTGGTTTAGATTAAAGTGCAAACAGCTCTGGTGGTGGTGAAGCACGTGGCTTCTAATCACATGATTGGAGATTGAAACCCACCAGCCATTCCATGGGAGAAAGCTGAAGCAATCTGCTTCCATAAGGATGTACAGCCCTGGAAACCTTGTAAGACAGCTCTACTCAGTCCTATAGTGTCTATATGAGTTGAAATCAACTCAAAGGCAACTAGTTTGGTCTTTGAGTTTATACTACGTACATAAGGAGCCCTGGTGACACAGTGGCTAAAGCACTCTGCTGCCGACCTTTGCTATCTGAAAGTTTAGCAATTCAAGCCCACCAGGAAGAGTTAGACGTGGCAGTCAGCTTCTGTAAAGATGACAGCCTTGGAAGTGCTGTGGGGCAGTTCTGCTCACTCCTATGTACAAGGTCACTATGAGTTGGAATCAAGTCAACAAAATACAATTGACTACCCATTTAGAAAAAAAAATTCAAAACCTACCACAGACTGTACTCCAAAATAAATTGTAGATGAATTAAAATTATAAACATTTAACAAAAAGAAAAACTAAGACTTTAAGTGTGGTTAGGAAATAGAGGAGCTAGTCCTATATTCCTAAAGGCCTTTATAAGCATAATAGGAAACGTAAGAGTTTTTTTTTAAAGACATAAAGAGAATTCTAAATCAGGAATGTTTACCATAGGCCCACCAAGAGAAACCATCTAGCCAGGAAAGTGCAATCCATTTGAAAATTTGACAAAAGACATGAGCAGACAACTAACAAAAGGAATAGCCATGGATAAGAAGCAAATGAGAAGATGGTTAACTTTAGTGGTATTCAAGGAAATGCAAAAAGAAGATGCACATTTCTCTGATGTTAGCTAGGTAACGGGGAGACAGGTATTCTCATTCTCTTACCTGCCTAAGCTTGAATATAAATTAGTGCAACTTTTTTGAAGAGCAGTTTGCCATTAGAGATCAAAGCCATAAACAGTATGTCTACCAAATTTTCTAGGGGAAGGAAGCAGACCAGAATACCAAGTAAAGATGCCAGAAGTTTCTTCGGCTTACTGTTCATGATGGCTGTGGAGGATCATTTCACTCCAGGGCCACTAGGACATCTTAGACTCAGCTCTGTGTTCAGGTTACATCAGTCAAGGATACAAGACAAGAAGTACACCTGGTCAGCTCGGCACTGTCAGATGGCCCTCTTTACTAGAAGCCCTTTTACCAGCGAGATTAGCAGTAGAACTCAGGCTCCATAACAGCTGTGGCTCATTCTGCCTTAAAAACCTCACCTTAGAAGCCTGCAGCTCCTGTGACAATGGGTGTGTAGGCATGGCTGGTTCTCCCATTCCCTGTGAGGGACACAGTCCCACTCAGTCCCAGTGCTTTGCCATCCTGACAGCGTATGTCATTCTCCCAGTGTAGGTACTGTCTTCCAAGCAGGGGTATCTAGCTTCATAAGGTAGTTGGCTTACCAGTTTCTGTTCAGCTACCAGGGGAACAGAACTACAGACTTAACCACAGAGGATTTTCTCATGTAGATTAAGAAATAGCTTGAGCATGTACCTGGAGACTTGATAAATAAATGTAAGACCTGCATATAATGGAATACTATGCAGGAGCCAAGAAATGAAGCCAACACACATTTTTGTATACATAGCAACATCTCTAGACCATCTTCCCCATTTAACTTTATACTTACATATTTATTGTAATACCCATGTTCATTTTCCAAAAAATGGTAACTATAATGTGGATTCCAACTTAGCGGAAACCTCTAGGCTGGAGTAGAACTGTCCCCTAGGGTTTCCGTAAATCCTTATGGAAGCAGACTGACACATCTATTATTTAGTATTATTTAATATCCCCATGTTGCTGCTGAGAATTGCGATGTTAAAAACCCACTGCCATCTAGTCATTTCTGGCCAGAGTAGCCCTATACAGGGTTTCAGAGGCTGTACATCTTCACGGGAGCAGACAGCCTCAGCTGTCTCCCCTGGAGCAACTGAGGGGGGTTTAAACCACTGAGCTTAGGGTTAGTAGTCCAATGCTTACCAAGAAAACATTAATTCTCTTTCCAAAGATAAAAGGTTTAAATCTTTTCAGATATTTTCTTCCAGAATTCTGAGTAACTGTATATATGTATATAATATAACAACACAATGCACTTATACACAGATTTCTGGCATTTTTTTCCACTTACTAAGTCTGAAACATTTTTTCTGGTTACATCGTATTTCAGTGTATGAGTATAACTGGTTCCATTTTTAGACCTTTAGGTTATTTTTAATTTTTAATGATTTATAGAACCATGTTGGAGTAACTTAAGTAATTTTTTTAACTTTTTAAAATTTTCATATTTGTATCCAGATTATATTTTCCTAAAGAGTATTGACTTCAAATGAGAGTTCATGTGCAGATAACTTGGAGAGAGAAGATGGGAGGAGTGGGAAGGGGCTTTCAAAAGTCCATGGTTAATCTGTTATAAACTCTTTACAACGCATTCATTTCTCAGTGAAGTGGGTTCTATCATTCACTGAGTGGGTTTTCCTTCCTTACCTGCCTTTGCTGCATCTTTTTCCAATTGAAAGCGATTCTGTATCATTCTGCTTTTCTGTCTGTATGGCATTTTAATACCATATAAATATGTGTTTATTTTCTTTTTTTTTGTTTGTTTTTTTTGTTTTTGTTTTTTAAATATGTGTTTATTTTCATTGTCTGTTTTCCACCATAAAATATGTGAGTTCTCTGGAAGTAGGAATACTGCTTGGTTGACACCTGTGACCTTTGTGGCCAGACTGTTTCTTAAGGTAGGCCTGGGACCAACAGTCCTCCAAAAGGCAGGGTCACTACAGGACTCCAATGTGTTCTGAACAACGAACCCATCTTTGAAAAGAAAGCTTACTGTGATACACAATCTGAAACATGCACAAAAATCAAGTCATATGACAAATCCTTCCATCAGCAGTTACCAAGTCATTGTCATAGTTGTTTTTGCTGTCTGTTTTGTTCCTGAAGTACATGAAAGCAAAGTCCCATCTTTCCCTACCTTTCTCAGTATGTGCCTCCTAAAAAGGGAGTGTTTCTCACATAATCCGCTACCCAATTATCACAAGTCAAGATGGATAATTTCTTAGTATCATATCCAATTAACTTTCACATGTCCCCAGTTGTCTTTAAAATATTCTTTTAGCGTTGCTTTGTTTAAATCTGGACAGAGATCCAGAGTCTGAAGTCTCTCAATATAGTACAATTTCCACCCTACACTCCCTCTCCCCTTACTTATGAAAGAACCCACTAAGCGGTCCTGTAGAAGTCGACTCCCATTCTAGATTTGTCTCTGTTCTTTCATGCTGACATATAACTTGTTTGACTCTCTCCCCATTACCTGTAAATTGGCTCAAAGGCAAGAATGAGGTTATATATTGGGGGGATGAATACTTGTTAGGTGGCGATTTGTAGTACTCTCACTTATTAGTATTTGAACTCAACATTTTATAGATAACGTGCTTCCCAATGCGCAGCATTTGAAGAGCTCAATTTCTCGAGAGTTCTTTGAACATTTTTGATAGTCATTGTTGAACATTATTGACAAAGAATAAAAAGAGAAAGAGCCAAACCAGGTTGGAAGTCAGTTGTTAGTGTCCTTACCACCCACACTTCCCCTCTGCCTCTTATTCTATTCATATGTTAGAAATGTCCCATAGGAAACCTGTTTTATTTAGATCGTCCAATTGTGACGTGCCTCTGTGAATGCCTACCTGATCTTTTCTTTCCACTAGTGACCACAAGAGGGCATTCAGTGAACATTTTCTAAGCATTGTTCTGCTTTGTTCGTTTGTGTATAAATGACCTAAATCTGAGCCCACACCAGCCCACCCCTCTTTGATTGGGGGTGGGGAATGTTTAAAGAAACTATTGGTAGAAACAAAAACCAGAAACTATTGGTGTGCTTATATGTATTCTAGCGGTTTAATCCCTTGTCCCAACCCCCCAACCTACGTCATTTTCATTACAAAGAAAATGAGTGGGGGCAGCACAGTGTCAAAGTATCACTCCAGGGATTGCTTGCTAATCACAAAAGGGAAAATGAACCTTTATAATGGGGACATCTTGTCCCACTAGTAGTGGGACAGTAAAACCAGGTGCCTCCTTAAATTGGTAGATCATCTACCAATTGTCTTTTACTCAAAAAAAGAAAAGAAAATTGAACCTTCAGTGAACCAAACCCAAATAGGAAATACATACTGAGAAAAACAAGCCAGCACACTCAGACAAGTACAAGGTCATATCTGTGACAAAATAACTGGCCTGGCCTTGAATAAAAGTCGCCATGTTGAGGAAAATATTGAAGGGTGCCTAGAAACCTGTCAGATGACCAGTAAAGGTGTGACCCAGCTACTGATGGTAAATAATTATTGGAAGATTTTGATTAAAACTGTTTCATGAAAGAAACATGAGTGGAAAGAAGCATACATAACATATGTATGATTTCCTGAACTGGGATTTCAAATCCTGTAGCTATAACAAAATTGCAGAGGCTTTCTCTCTCAGTATGCCTAAAAGTAAGAGCCCTAGTGGCTTTGTGGGTGCTGTGTGAGTTGGGCTGCTCAGCACAAGGTCAGCATTTTGAAACTACCAGCCAGTCCATGGGAGAATGAGGAGGCTTTCTCTTCTCATGAGGAGTCACAGTCTCCGAAACCCACAAGGGCCAGTTCGACTCTGCTTCGCTATGAGTTGTTGGAATCAACTTGATGGCAGTGAGTTAGGCTTTGGTTGGTATACCTGAAAGTTAATACTTTCAAAGTGCTTGCCAACTTTGCTTTTCATCTGGGGCAAAGAGGAATTGCTTTCTCTTCGGGCCTATGTAATCAATTAACTATAACCTTAAGCCAGAGGTTCTATGTCAGACAAACTTGCATTGACTGTAGCCCTATGCTTAATTGCGAACTGGCTTTAAGTGGGAATGAGGGGACCCGTATTGGAAATGGGCCAGCATCCACTAATGGTGACATAACCGTGAGCTCATCTATGATGACCACAACATCTTGAGGCTTTTGTCTTTCCTCGTCATAGACTGTATTGTAAAAACCATAGCGGAAATGATGAGCGGGATGAAGAAGATGAAGAACGGGAGAGTAAAAGTCGTGGAAAAGTAGAAATTGATCAGCAACAACTAACTCAGCAGCAACTTAATGGAAACTAGGTATGAAAGTAATTATACTAGATCTGTTGTCAGGATACCATGCACATGAATCAATGTTGACGTAGTGGTGTGCAGCGAGCCTTTAGTAGCTAATAAGTTTAGTTAAGAGCATGTTATTAGAATGCAGAGGATTGTGTAGCCTTGCATAGTGTTTTTGTTTGTTTTATTTGTTTTAGCTAGCTGATTTGGCAATAGTAACACGAGGCTATCTACTTTATCAGTAAATGTAGTTTTAAGTAAAATCAATAAGATATTCTCACTCCTCAATAACATATTTATTGTTTTTTCCTCTGAAGCATCATATTTTACATTTTCTTATCATCTTTTGAACAGGTTCATGGGACAGAGTTAGAAAACTGGGAATGAATAAGACATCCATAACTACTATTCTTTTTTCACTGTTTTCTAAAATCGAAAGGGTTTGTAACTTTGTACTGCCCAACTCTCTTAGATCCTTTACTGAACTGCCTACAAATGTCCTGTTTGTTCTGTGAGCCTCCACTAGGTGGCAGCGTTTGACATGTGGATATTACTTAGCTGTAGAGTGCAGTTTCGGGGAAGCAAGTGAAACACAATTAACCCCATCCATGTACAGTGTCACCAGTTCAAGCAGACATGGAAACGAAGTGAGCTGGCTATATGGACCGAACAAAGTTGTGCTGTTTAGAAGGTTTCACTTGGTTTAGTGGCCTCATATTCAAGGGAAAGCATAAGCAAATTTGACTTCACAATGCAAACACGCCTCTGGTGGCCACACGGTAATGTGTGAAGTGCTTGTCACACGCAAGTACTGATGGCTAGAAATGAAGAGAGCCTACCTTTTTCTGCGGGCTCTAATAGTGCATGCGAAAAAAGCCCTCCAAGCAGTGTGTTAAGGTTTTCCATTTGAGTGCTGTTCAAACTCTCACCGACCAGCATGGACTCTACTCTGGCCGCTCTCAGCTTCAAGCTCCTGCTTATGCCAAACCTGCTCGACAGTACACCACTTCTTCCCATGTTGTACAGAGAGTGCCAGGGTGGGGGCAGGGCGGGGAGGGGGATCATCGCATCTTTCTAAGTGGCAACAGCAAATTCAACCTCTGTAAGATTTCAAGGATTAATACTCCCTGAGCACTGTCGTGCCCGCCCTCCTCTGTCTCCCAGTCTGATACCCATTCCTCTCAAGTGCCCTGTTGTGTGAAACATTTCACGTGTTGGCCCAAAGTGTGTAAGGAGGTCTCCTGTGCTTATGGGAGGAAACCAAACCAAACCAAACCATCTTGGCATAAAGCAGTATTTATTTTAAATTCTATGACCACTATTTTGGAGCCTTTATTTAATATGTTTTAATGTTTTCGCTCCACTGCTTTGGTTATCTACTAAATAGGCTTCTGATAGACCATGGTGGTGTTTTACCATAGATACTTGCAATTGTTTATCAAAGCCTAAGAACCCAGCTTTTTAGAAAGGATTTCCTCGCTGGCCATTTCCAGCTCGGGATGTTTCCTTCCACGTACCTGCTGAAGCACATTGAGATTTTTCTTTATGGCAAAGCCAAAACCGGTAGTTGTGGACTGCCTGATGGGAGCCCAGCCCTCAAGGTGGAGGAGAGAGAGACCGATTTCTGCACTGTTAAATAACCAGCCACATGGAAGCAAGTTAGCATACAAAACAGCATCGTGCTAATGTGACTCTATACCAAGATACTCTGCAGGAGAGAGAAGCGTTTGAAAAAATGAAACAGGTAGAAAATTACACTGTGCTTAATGACTGACAGCGTCCTGGTGACGCAGTGGTTGAAGCACCCAATTGCTAACCTAAAGGTCGGCGGTATGAACCCACCAGTGACTCCACTGGGGGATGCCGTGGCGGTCTGCGGCGTCCGTAATGATGGACAACTGTCGGAGGCAGTCCTACTGTGTCTTCTAGGGTCGATAGGAGTCAGAATTGACCCACCCGCAGTGGGTTCGGTTTGGGGATTAATGACTTGAGTTTTTGTGAAAATTGTTAGTCCCTTAACCACATCTCTGCCCTGTTGTCTGTTCACTTATTTCCTTAAGTCCAAGCGCTCCATGACAGCTCTTTTTTTTAAACCATCTTTTATTGTTACTCTTAGGAGAAGGAAACTAGCTTTAGTCGTAGATTGCCCTCTGTTTTCTTTTTGCTCGAAATATGCCATCGAGGTTTTTTAGTGTGTATGTGATTGTCTAAATTCATCATGACTTGAAGTGCAAGACAGATCTAGATGTGTGTTTACCGAGCTATGTGACTTGCCCCAAAGGATCTGTACCTTATTTCCATAGGACAGCTTGAAAAATCCTAGTTTTCAATCTTGTCTCACTGTGTCTAGATCTTTTATACATTGTGTGCCATCGGCTTACCCACGGGATAGCAGCGCCTTCATTTATGGACAACTACTGTAATGATGGTTTTTTGTTTGTTTGTTTGTTTGTTTTAAGGAAAAATGTAGAAGGTGTCCGGGGTAATAATGGCCCGTCAATGATTCTATACCAGTTTTCAAATACTATAGCTGTCAGTGGGTAGATTTGTTATATGTAGTGAAATATATGACTTTGTAGGGGTTTCTTCAACCCTTTCTCTGCCACTAGCAACCAGAATAGCACTTTACCTTTTGGTTGGCTAGGTAAGTGGCTGGCTACCTATTTTCTCTCACTGTGGTGTGATCGGCTAATAATCTTTTGTTTAAAAAAAAAAGATGAGAAGTCATCTTTGGTGTAAACTTCCAATGTTTTGTTTCTGTATCATTTTATTTTTTTTATTTTTGGTCACATGCTGAGTAAAAGTGCCTTACAATGTAAAAATTGTACAGTACTTATGTTCCCAAGTAGCATCATCATCGACTGGGTAGTAATTACATTGTGGTATTAATATTTAGAAAAAATGTACCTCAGCAGTGTATTTACTGTACATCTCTTAAGTCCTTAACTGTAGTTTTAATAAGCATGACATTATTTGATAAGTATATAGCATTTACATAATTTCAAAAAATACTGCCATGACTGTCTTTTACGCATATTTTAGCTTGAAATTTTAAAACGTCTTTTCTTTCTCCCTCCCCTTTTTTTGTTTAGTTGTTGTTATTGATATTAAACAGTGTAATCTTTGCAAGCGTATATTGAAGATTAATCTGGAGCATTTACTGCCTTACCAGAAATGTTAGTAAGAAATGTTCTTTAGAGTAGAAGGATAGACTTGAGTTTCTCTACTTTAATAAAAGTGCTTTGTTCCTGGGGAAGGGGGAAGTGAATTTTACTTTCATCTCAATTTATTAGAAACCCACAACTGAAAACAAATTTTGTTTGATCTCCCCCCCAACCCAAAGATGAGTGATTTTCATATTATAGATTGTACTTCCTTGGGAGTACATGCTACTCAAGATATTAAGAGATTGCCGAGCTATGTAGATCTGTTGATTCAGAATCTGTGTACTTGAACAAACTTGTGAGAATCTTCAATATCTCAAAGCATAATGAAAACTGTGTTATTGCTTTTGTAGAAAGCACTCATGTTAGACCGTGGCATATAATTTTGCTGGATGGACATTTGGGTTCATTGTGAAGATAAGGAATGCATCATGGGTCAAAATCAAACATTCCTCTCATGTTCTGTATATTTGGTTCCTGTTATATTGGCTTTATTTTTAGAATTGTAGTTTGTAGTATTAGTTTACTTTTATTGGTATTCTTGCATATACTATTCATTCAATAAATGCGTTATGACTTTCATAAGTGTATGCCTTTTTTTGTGACCGCTCCTGAGTAATGACACTTGATAACAGCAATTGTGTTACATTTTAGCCTTACTTTATTACGACTCACAGGGACCCTAAAGGACTGGGTAAAACTGCCTCTGGATTTCTGAGATTAACTCTTTGTTTTAATAATTGGGAATTCTTACAGATATTATAACAATCCATAAATCAGTTAGATCAAGCATAGTTGTACAGTTGCTGCCACCATCATTTTCAATACATTTTCTTTCTTCTTGAACGCTTTGATATCAGCTCCCCTTATCCCCTCCATCCCTCACCCTACCCCTCAGGAACCATTATTATTATTATGCCATATCTACCCAATGATCCATTCACCTACAATTCTGTTATTTGTTCCCCTGAAGTGGGGTTATACAGTCATCATTACTGTGAATTCACACCACCCCAATACATATACCCTTTCCCATACCCTCAGGGAGTCATTACTTCCATTACTATTTCTGAAGGGTTTATCTCATCCTGGACTTCATGCATCGAATGACCTTAATTATCCAAATGGACATATACAGGTCTCACAAGATTTATGAGGTGAAAGTAAGACCATAATAGTAGGGGGGAGGAAATATTACAGAATACTGTGCTTCAACGGTGCTCTGGATATTATCAGCCCTTCCGTGTGGCCCTTCTATGAGGTACTGTCCAATGATCTTACAGGTAGGTTTGGGGTCTCCACTTTGCCTATGCTCCTTCACATCAGTCTGATTGCTTGTTTTGGATTGCTGATACTTACTCCCATTGACACCTCATGACCACACAAGCTGGTATGCTGCTTCCATGTGGGCTTTCTTGCTTCCATCTAGATGACTGCTTGTTTAACTTCAAGCCCTTAAGACTTCAGACACTATGTCTTTTAATAGCGGGGTACCATCAGCTTTCTTCACCACATTTGCTTATGCACCCATTTTGTCTTCAGCAATCATGTTGGGAAGGTGAGCATCACAGAGTGACAGGTTATTAACAAACTGTTCATGTACTGAGGTAAATTTTAAGTAGAGGCCCAAAGTTCACCTGATTCCTTGTTGTATCTATATCTATCTATATATATGTATATGGAGAGAGACAAATATACCATCTTAATATATTTATGTATATACATATCTATATAACTATATAATTTTTACTTTTTTAGAAAAAAATCATTGGGGGCTCTTACAGCTCTTATAACATTCCATACATCAGTTTTATCAAGCATATTTGTACTTTTGTTGCTATCATCATTTCCAAAACATTTTCTACTTGAGCTCGTGGTATAAGCTCCTTTGTTTTCCCCCTCTCACCCTTGTGAATCCTTGATCAATTATACATTGTTAGTATTATTTCGTATCTTACACTCTTGTCTCCCTTCACACACATCTGTTATTTGTCCCCTTGGGGTTTGGGGGACTTATATATCCAACCTTGTGATAGTTCCTCCCCCTTCCCAGCCATCTCCCTATCCTCATGATACTGCTACTCCCACTACTGTTCACCACATTTTCACTTTATTGTTCTTTCCTCTATTTCCCCTTTCCTCCTGCCCCACTGTGTTAGTCTGGGTAGACAAGAGAAACAAATCCGTAGACACACATGTGTATAAGAAAGAGATTTATATACAGGAGGAATTG